AATTTTCAGGGGGAACACTTTGTAAATTATGTGATTGTCTAACCACTATGCTATACACCTGAAACTAATATAAAATGATATTGAAAGTCAGCTGCAATCTAAAACTAAAATTTTAAAAGAAAAGCCATCACAAGGAAGGAGAGGGACAAGACATGCCCTAAGTTTCTCCGAGGGGAAGACGGGCAGCAATGGGAATGGTTTGGTGTCAGTATAAGAAAGAGCTTCCTCCTTGTCAAAGAGCTCCAGCCATGGCAGTATGTGCCTGGAGAGCAAGGACATTGTCTCCCTATGCAGTGGTCGGCAAACTGTGGCTCGTGAGCCACATGCGGCTCTTTGGCCCCTTGAGTGTGGCTCTTCCACAAAATACCACGTGCGGGTGCGCACGTACAGTGCGATTGAAACTTCGTGGCCCATGCGCAGAAGTCGGTATTTTGTGGAAGAGCCACACTCAAGGGGCCAAAGAGCCGCATGTGGCTCGCGAGTGGCAGTTTGCCGACCACTGCCCTAGGGGATCTCTGGCAAAGGTTCAGCCATCACACCCACAGAGCTAGAAGAGAGACAGTCAAAGGTGTCAGACATCAGATGAGGACTGGACCAGGGTAGGTCTGAGATCCCTTGCAAAACTGAGACTCTGTCATTCTGTAGACCTTGAGTTATTGCCTTTTAATTAAAAACTTAAAGCACCTTTCCTAAGGCTTGACATTCAATATCCTGGAGACGAAAGCCTAAGGAGTCGGTTTTAGTATCTGTGTGATCACAGTAGTTGGTGTAGCAAAACCTTTTGTTAATACTCAGTGGCGAGCATCGGTCAGCTCACGGAAGAGTGAGGTTCTATTCCCGGTAAAGGGAGCATACCTGGGTTGCACGGTGCAATCCCTGGCCCAGGTCCGGGTGAGTGCAGGAGGCAACCAATCAATGTGTCTCTCTCACGTTGATGTTTCTCCCTTCCTCTCTTCCTCCTCCTTTCCTTCCACTCCCTAAAAATCAATGGGAAAAAATATCCTCAGGTGAGGATTAACAACAAGAAAAATATTATAATTCACTTCAGTTTTGCCTTTTTACAAGTCCTGCTGTTGAGAGAAGTATATTCACAGTTTTGTTGTTTTGGTTGTTACTTGGGAGTTTGGGGCAGGGGGGACTTGGGTTTGTATTTTAATGGACTAAATCTCGGTGTCTCAGATTTGACGCTTTTCCCCTCTCCACTAAAGTCATTGAAATATATTCACCCAGTCATTCACATCAGAGGTGTAAATGGTTTTTCTGAAGGTTTTTTAAGAGACAATCAAAGCCCATCACTTTGTGACTTGAATTCTTCAGGTATTTCGATCAGAAAGCTTAACAAACCCTCCCAACTGCAAGGATGCTAAAACTATGTTTTGACCTTGACTCTGCCCGGGGGGGGGGGGGGGGGGGGGTGGGGGTATTGACATCTTTTGCTAGAAGTGCTCATCCACCACCTCTTGGTTTTAGCCATTGGTGTAGAATTTACTTGGGAAAGAGAAAGGAGAAGCAATCAAATTGAGCCTTCAGAGTGTGAGGGAAAATAACAAGTTTATATGACTTTGCAGCTCCCAATGGTTGTTGCTGTTATAGTTTAAATTTTTAGGTCACCTTTTTGTCATTGATATTTGCAAAAACCTGACTTAAAAAGTGCATCAGCCATGTCACACAAAGGCTTATTTCTCCATTTGTTTCATGTCATCAAAAAGACATAACAAGTTTAAAGCTCCTCTCAGGTTTAGTCTTAAAATATAACCCTGAGGAAACAGGGTAAGATTGCAAAGATTTTACTTACACCACTCAGGACCCCAGGCTGTGGAGTCGAGAAGCTAAAGATTGAATTTCCAGCATTGCCTCTTTTTATTTCACTCAGTGTCTCTGAGTCTCAGTTTCCTTCCCTAGCAGATGGAGAAATAATAGTACCCTAGCTCATAGGGTTGTTGTGAAGATTATATAATGTAACAGACACTAACCAGTGGTTCTCAACCTTCCTAATGCCGCGACCTTTAATACAGTTCCTCATGTTGTGGTGACCCCCAACCATAAAATTATTTTCGTTGTTACTTCATAACTGTAATTTTGCTACTGTTATGAATCGTAATGTAAATATCTGATATGCTATATGTGTTTTCTGATGGTCACGACCTACAGGTTGAGAACCGCTGCAAGCCCTCAGACATCTTAAGTTCCTCATAAATGTTAGCTATTATTATTCTAGTACTAATTCTAATGGCTTCACCAAACCTTAATTATGGAGCTATTGTCCGGATTAATGACATCGTGGCCAAATCATTCCCTTACACAGCTGCAAAGCAGGTTTTGGCATTGTGTAACAATTCATTCTTAGCTAATGAACTTGAACAGCCATTTTTGAGAAAATAATGAGGAACCTTGAATCTAGAATTAGAAAATGCATCCTATTTGCCAGGAACTTTTTAGAAACAAATACCTAACTATTTTAGGAACAAATATCCTAAGTCCTTGGGAGAACTGCAAAGAACCTACTGTGTGTTGGTGACTATACACTTGAAATGTCTGGGCAGGAAGAACTGCAGATCATAGTGCTTTGCCTCCCAGAATAAGGTCCTGTCTAAGAATCGGTTGTCAACTAGAGACCAAGGTCGTACAGCAACTGATCACTGCCTACATGCCTCAGTGGGACTCTAGAAAACTGCACTGGCCACTCAGATGTCCTCCCCGGGGACCAGGGGTGTAGTGGAGTCAGTTCTGGGTTGGGAGTTGGACAAAGCAGGCTCGAGTCCAGGCTTCGCCATTTATTTTCTGTGTGACTTTGGTCTGGTTGCTTGGCTTTTCTCAACCCTAGTTTCCTCATCTGTGAAATGTGGCTATTTTATAACCTAACTCCTTCAAGAGGTCAAATTGTAAATGTGCATAAAAGTGCTGAAGCCAAATGCCATTAATAGTACTGGTATTATTACTATTACTAATACCATGCCACTATTACAAAGGAAAATAAATGGTAGCAGGAAGAACATGGATCACTGTGTACTACATATGACACCAGTGTGACTCCTCAAACACAAGGCAAATATCCTCAGAGTGGTGATGAGACTCAACCTTCTTCCTGGCTGAAAATCCTTATCCTATGACAGATATACTACCTGTGTCTCAGAAGTATTATTAGCATATTGATAATCCAAAACTCACAGTAATATGTTTCTATTCTATTTTTTATCTGAATTTAAGTGAGTTGACAACAGAAAAACTGGTTAGGTTATAAACTAAGTCATATCCATTGTCCACATACTAAATTATTTGCCAACTCATTACACCCTCGCTTTAAGTTCTTCATTCGTTCACCATTTGTTGATCAGATCCCAAGCTCCCTCTCCTGACCTGCAAGGCCTTTGGTGATCTGGTCTTTGGCTCTTCCACTTGATGCTTTCTTCTCACCCTGCTCAACTTTTCATAGTTTTGTGGATGCCCTTCCCTCTTCCTGAAATATCCTTACCCCTGTCTGCTGGATCCGTTTCCATTAATTCTTATAATTAATGGAACAATGCCTGGCCTATAAGTGGACATTCAATAAATGTTTAAACAAATTGACTTGAAATCCGATGTCTCCTACATAGACTGAAACAAGCGAGTATTTTTGTTTCCACTTGGCCTTGTAAAGTCTGAAATTCCTACTAAAGTCTGAATATATTCTACATCATCGAAAGGCAATAGCTCTTATAAATTATTTTGCACATGTAGCTCTCCTAAATGTGCCAATGAGAACCTGTTTCATAGACACTAATGGAGTTGATAAGCCACAATATTCATTTTAGTAAACAAATAGGTTAAATATATAATATAAATTAAAATGCTATATTCCCTATTGCAAAAGTTTGCACAATCAAGAAGCATGTGTTCTATTATTTAACAATAAAACAGGCATATATGTGAATATTCACATGAGTATACTCCTAAGAAAGTCATGATAGCAATGTTCACATAAGATAGGCCAGTCCCTCTGGGGCCACGTCCAAAGGATTGTAGTAACTAATGACAAAAGGACTTCCTACAGGACTTCTTTCCCAAAAGTAATGCAGCAGTACCGTCCATAGATCCTGGGCAGAGTATACTCTCTGTCTGTCTGCCTGTCTCCCTTCTCTCTCACACACATGCACACAGACTCTTTGGGATTTTAAAGTTCCAAGTAGAATTCATTAATAAAAATATGAAATGTGTTTTGTTTTATAAATCATAGTGAAGTGTGGAGAGATAAAGGAAGAACTAAGGGGCGAGTAATCATCTCCTGCTTTCCACTGAAACCTGTCAGTTCACTCCCAACTCAAACACCTGGTTAAAAGATTTATCTACAAGAAACTTAAAAGTTTGTATCCTGCCTCATCGACAACAGCCTCAAACTGTTCCTTGTCATCTCAGAAAACAAATCTTTTGCTCCTTCCTGCCTAGGGGAGGCCGAGGGACGGAGGTGGTCCTGTGTGGCCGAATGAGATGAAAGACTTGCCTTCCACCATGGAGACATGGAGTCTAATCAAGCGAAATGAGTTCTGAGATCCCAGCTCATTTCCTAGGGGAGATCAGTTCGCATTACAGAATCACGGCATCTCATTCATCACAACTGACTCGGTCTTTGCTCAGGAGAGAACCCCAACTGGGACTAAACCACCTGTCTTCCCTTGCAAAGAGGCACTTTATCTGAGGTAGAGCTGAAAGCCTGGGAGTGAGAAAGCTTGCCAGCTTCCACCCGAGTGATACACATGCAACGTGGAAGGCAACTTAAGTTTTGCAAAGGAAGACGAGTTTAAGGAAGATTGGTGGTTGTGGTTTTAAAGATGCCAGATACAAATAATTGTAACAGAGATGCTATGGCATTATGGTGGAGAGAGCCGAGATTGGGGCTCCCTCTTTTTTATCTCCTAGGTTTTATTAAAGGATAAGCATTTCCATGCATCAGAGTTTAAAATGGCAAAGAAAGTGTGCTGATTTCTATGCTGATAAATGATCATCATCTCTTTTATTTCTTTCAGGGCATTGTTATAACACCCCTGCTACTGCTGCTTTTTGTGAGTATTTTGATGTTGTCTTTAATATCTTTTATTAAAAGCCATCTACAATCCTTGAAGAAAGGCCATTAAAATAGAATTGAAATTTGAATCACTTTGTATGATTTTGCATCACATTTTGAACTGTTCTCCCATTTGAGCTGTACCAAGTAATAACATGTGGACCCAAAGGATCTCTGTAGCCTCATGATCCAAGGCCAGTGTCAGGGCCCAGTTATTAAGCCTCCAACTCCTGGCCAAGTCATGAATTACTAGAAATTAGTGGCCTGTGACTAGGTCACAAATGTACTGCTCTTTATTTTTCCATTAGTAAAAACAAAGTGATTGCTAGTGGCCCAGTATTTGATAGAAAGAGCCTTGGACCCAGAACCAGAGGAAGCTTAGGTTCCAAGGCTGACAATAACCGGCTTCCCCACTTTGGGGAATACTGCCTCAATTTCTTCATCTGTAGAATGGGAAGCAATATTACCTACCCCAGTGTGCCTCCCAGGAATAATGAAATGTGCTTTAGAAATAAAAAAAAATACAAGCTACTGATTAACTAAACAAAAATTGTACAGAAAATAAATGCTAATTAGCTGTCTTATTTCTTTTGGTACTAAGCATATGAGAAATTAGATGAAAAATTATAATAGAAATTAATGTTATCTCATGCTGAGAAAAGCATATGTAATCATGAGTGATACCTAAAATATTTTATGAACTGTGCATTTTTCATACACACATCTCCCAAATATAAATCACTCCACTGATCACTGCAATGGAGGGGGTGTGTTTCTGGGAGTGAAATGTAGCTGTTTAACTAGCACTGTTTGTCAGTGAATTAAAACTATGGGGAAAATTTATTTAATTATAGGGTAATTACCCAAGTTGGAATTCAATTAGAGTAATAGAGTGAGGGACTTCATTTCTTACAAGCTGTGCAGGAAGTGGAGGGGGAGAGATACTACTAAACAGTTGGATTCTGCATCATTCATGAAAGACATTACCTTTAAGTACGAAGGCCCAGCCTTCCCTTCCCTTTCCTTTTCTCCTGAAATGCTAGCTTCCTTCTGACCAGGTTAGAGGAGTCCAATAATCAGATTACTTCTCTGAGCATAACAAACCTCATTCATTTGAACTTCACCAGTTCAGAATTTGCAGCGAGTCCACTTGAAACTGAAGTGAATATTGATTTGCATTTGTTTGAAATACAAGACTTGGTATGTACCTACCTGCTCACCAGATGTGAGGGCCTGGGATCATCCCTCGGTGTTGTTTCCGAGACAAGGGCACAGCTTCCCAGGAGCATCCCCTGCATGCACAGCACGGGCCAGCCTGCAGTCCCGCTGCAGTGGGCCAGAGGACTAGTACAGAGCCAGGTATCTGGTTAGTGTATAGCAAACGGCTGTGTAGCCCAGGTTTTCTCCACTGCAGAAGAATAAAGAGTGGCATCTCTAACTCATGACTCTTACGAAAATCCAGGATTAATCATAGCCGCAGCTACAGGGCTGAGACCTAAGGTAGCACTTTTGAGAATCTCAGAGGCTGGAATCTCTGGGGCCCCGTTTCGGCTCATGACTAAAGAACTAGAGGAGTACTTTCCCCCTCTCCTTCCCATCTCCATGCCATAGAGATTTTCTCCATGGATTGATATTATGGCATCATACTATTGCAAGCTTCCCCCCTCTCTTGGACCCACAGACTTGTGAGATTTAGTTGGTTCAACATTTTAAAATAATGGAACATCAAGAATAGTAAAAGAAACCCCAAGACCCTGAACTTTAAAAAGTGTAATGTTTCCCCCTGAGCTACCTGGGCTGTCCCAATAGGTTGTCACAGGCATTGTCACAGGCACTTTTACTATGTTCTATGACTTTAACTCGCATGCACAGTATATAGCACTTTTGTCTCTTTAGGTTGTCATGCAATTTACAAACAATGGGCATTGCTTAAACACTTGGGTTACCAGGCCTCATTTCCTGAGCAGGAAAAACCCCGAGCAACTTAAAATATGATCACATTCCATAAAAGATGTAGTGTTGTTGTTTTTATCAACACCCCTGTTATGGGTTAAGTTGTATCCCTCAAAAAGATATGCTGAAGGTCTAACCCGCGGTACCCCAGAATGTGACCTTATATGAAAATAGGCTTATTGCAGATGTAATTAGTTTAGGTGAAGTCATATTGGTGTAGGGTGGGCCCTGACTGCAATATGACTGGTATCCTTATAAGAAGAGAAGCCAGAGGCACACAGAGAGAATGCACGTCAGGTGGAAGCAGAGAAGGAGTGTTAGGTCTACAACTCTAGGAACACCAAGGGTTGCTGGCAAACTTCAGAAGCAAGGAGAGATGAGGAAGGATCCTCCCCTACAGATTCCACAGGGAGCATGACCTCATTGATCTCAGACTTAATAGCTTTCAGAACTGTGAAACAATATATTTCTGTTTACCCAGTTGTGGTGTTGTCCTATATAATAAAAGGCTAATATGCAAATGGACCAAACGGCGGAATGACTGGTTGCTATGACACACACTGACCACCAGGGGGCAGACGCTCAATTAGGAGCGCTAAGGATGTCTGACTGCTAGAGGGCACAGGCTGGGCTGAGGGACCACCGCCCCACCCCCCCTCAAGTGTATGAATTTCGTGCACTGGGCCTCTAGTATTAAAGAAGAAACTAAAACAACACCTGGAAATTGAATTGTCTTTTTTTTTTTTAATAATATCTTGAAAGGGAGTGAGTTCTCATTCATAAAGGGAGAGTGTGGCCTCCTAAGCACAGAGTTCACCCATAGTAATGGGAGAGGGAGAGGTAGAATAACTCTTATTGAGTAGATATAGTGGGAACTTATTACATAATCCCATGTGAAGAGCATGACTACCTTTAGAGGTAGATATTATCCTCACTTTATATGAGAAAACTTAGGTTCAAAGAGTTTTTGTAACTCGGTTTAGACTACACAACTAGTAAAGAGCACAAGCATTTTCACTCAGGGTCTGCCTCCCTGAGGGCCCCTTCCAGGTGATACTCACACAGCACACCTCCCAGGAGACAGTAGTTTTAAGACATATGATCAGCGCTCAATTACTACTTCTTGAATATTTTTATTCTGGGTAACACAGGAAAGACTAAACAAGAACAAGGCATCATTATTGCCTTGAACGAACTTAAAGTTTATTTGGGTAAACAAGAATAAAGAATAATGAAGACATTTAGAGGAAAAATTAACTGCTATGCTGTGTTATTCAGACTGAGTTGCAGAGGAGTTCATGGGGTCAGGGAGAGAGATCCGGGACCAGCCTTGAGGCTGCAGTCATGATTAGTTTTCCTAGTAAACGGCTACCTGTGATAAAAAATAATTTTTCAACTTCTGATCCATCAATAGAGTACAGCCATTACTGTCACATGCAGTACTCTACTTTTTGTCATATATTCCCAATGATGATTGCATAATTGATAGTCACATGTATATAATGATAACAAAACACTTAAAGAGAAGCTATTCATTTAATTGGCCCAAATGTTTTATTCCTGTACTGAGGACTGTTTGTTTCTAAAGCAAGTGAGGACCGATATTCTCTTGAACCCGCGAGTAGCTTATCTTCTGACTGTGTGTGTAAATCTCACAGAGATGGTTATCACACAGGGAGAACTTTGTGAGGCAAAATAACCTGGAGTCTTTGGTAAATACCCCTGTTGGGGCTCCCTCCCCCCAACCCCCACCAGTCTTTTGAACCCTAAAGGGCCAGGAGGAGCACCTGGTACACCATTTTTAAATGCTCTAGCTAGAAGTGACATTGATGTACTCCCTTCCCCCTTTCCAGAAAAAATATTACTCAGCCCAGCTCCCCTGTTGGTCTGGGACTTCTCAGGCTCCTCTGAAGGGAGGGAGGCAGTGACTGGGTGAGCTCAGGCACAGCACTGCCTAAACCACACTTTCCCTGCCTCTAGCTCCTCCCAGCACCAGCTGCTGGGCTCCCTGAGCAGGCAGGGTCTGCTCTGCATAGCATGAGGAGGACACTGTGTCCTTGCACCACCCTTGCTGAGGGTCCCCACACTTAGAGCACTCTTCCCAGGGGAGCTTCAACATCTGCTCCAGTTAAGGGACTGTTTAGTTAGCAACAATAGGCACTTGGTTCCTGAACCAAACTCATATTGACAAGACCAAATCCTGTGGTCAGGGGATTAGAAGCAAAGATTGTTTCCAGGTGCTGGGAGTATCCCTGCCCCCAGCCCTCCAGGTCCCCAAAGCCCATCTCCCCACAGCTTTCCTCTGTGCGCTGTGATAAGCCAACTTACCATTCATTTGGGTGCATCCTTCTAAAATGTCTGTGTGGTTTGAGTAACCGGAACTTACAGTTGTACATTGGGGCCTTCAGTTATGGAAGGTAATCTTTTCATTTTAGGTTTTAAATTAGCCTATAACAACAAGACATGTTTTACATATTTTTTATCTTTGAAAAATCAATTGAAGCCTGTTTTGCTTGTTCCTTCCTAGAGAAGGAAACACCATGCACCTAGAATAAAAAGGATCCTTTCCCAACTAAATACATGCCTTCCAGGTAGTGACCCAGCTTTAGTGTGATACGTGCAGCTGAATCAGAATCAACCACATTCTTCACAATCATGTTCTTAATTTTAATAGAAATAAAAGTCGTTTTGACACTGAGCCTGTCAGCTGGTGTACACTTTACTCATCTGTGTGTGGAAGGAATCAATGTCGTTGCATGTGTCCCTGGAGAGAAGGAGCAGCTGGGTGAAAGAAAGGCTCAACTGGAGTTTCTGGGGAAAGATGGAAACCTAAAAGGGTTTGGGGGCTGGGGACCAGGGACACTCCTCTGTTGACTTCCCTCTGTGAAGGAAAGGAGACTGGTATAGGAGAGTATGTCTGTCTGTGGGCAACAGTAAACAAGTCCCTTCCTTCTCCCCCTTCCCCCAGGACTGGGCTCCATGGGTGACGGGTGATGGGTGATGGGTGATGGGCAGGATAAGGGTGGGCACTGGACAGGAAGTGAA